GCATTGTAGACTCTCCCACCAGGGCTGTGGAAGAGGAAGGAAGCTGCCCTGGTGCATTTTTCTCCAATTTGGGAAAACAAAAATCTGACCAAGATGGACCACTCCCTTTAATGTTCTCTTTAGTACATTTTAACAGGAACTCCATGTAACTTTTCAACTTCTGAAAAAATGCTAACTTCTTTTTACACCAAAGTTCTAAAGCAATGTTTTTCAACTTGGGCAACTTGAAGGATTGGTGGACTCCAACTCCCGTGCTGGCTAGGAGATGCTGAGAGTTGGAGTCCAGCCGTATTCAAGTTGCCAAGCCTCAAAAACACCGCTCTAAACAGTATAATCATATTATTCCCATCACTTCTCAGCTTCGCAACACCAGCACTTCTGGAGTCCAGAAAAAAAAACAAAACCCTACATTGCCTTTTCTACTCACCGCTGCCATCGTTTTGTCTATTTCTCAGAGAAATCGCAGCACGCTCCGCAAATCAAACCAACACCCGTGATCGTCCCAGGCTGTTTCCCTGCAATCTTGAAATAGCTTTCAGCTGCAGGTGCTTTTTTTACTACCAGCCAATCAGGAGCGAAACGCTGAGCACCAATTAATGAGATGGAAAAACGGATCTATAGCGTTTTCCAGGTGAGATATGAGCGTTCATCAACGGAGCGGTGAGAGGGCGTGTGCGTACACGTGTGTTAAATAGACATTAAAAAATAGAAGTAATAAAAATGTTTGCAATCTCCACGACCTATTCCTGGCTTGGAGAAAAAACTATCTTTTTTTATAGAGAAAAGTCCACTTAGACTACAACTCCCAGAATTCCTCTTGATCATACCAGGAATGTTTTTTATGGCCTGGGGAGGCAAAAGGAGAGCCATATGACTACAGTTCCCAGCAGCCTTTCGGAGCGTGTTGCGGATTGGCTGCGGGTCTAGATTTGCAATTCTATGGCCCAAGGAGAACCTCTTAAGGGGAGGGGGTGCGTTTTTGCAAAGGGCACCAGGTTTTACGCAGATCGCAGGCGGAAATGTTAATTATTCCTATTAAATGAAATAATTACAAGAGAACCGTGTGAAGAGACTGCAGCCAGAACTGCAAGCGAATGGGCACCTCAGCTGAAAACTTCAATTAAGTGTTAGCGGATAGGAAAAGAAAGACAAAAAAGAAAATAGCCAAGATTTCTTTAAAAAATAATGTTTTGTAATTCCCCCCAAATATTAGTGCTATCATTAAGATTTCTGGCAAGGCAAATAAAGACCTTAAATCCAGATTTGCAGATTTAAACTATAACGCATTCAATATTTATCTGCTGAATCGCTGAGACGGGCTTAAGAGTAAAAGGGATTTACACCGCACGGAAAATTTTGGACGTGATTCCCTACAGATTCCTTTTTGCCCAGGCGTATAAAAATGGTAAACATATTGCTGGCTATAGAGAGAAAGAGATGCTAGTCCATCCGCCATTGCCCGAAAGCCAAATAAGCCGGTCAGCATGGTGTGAAAGACTCTTAAGTTTCAGTCAGGTGCAAATCCTGCGTAGGGCGCTTGTCTGCTGCAGGCCAGGAAATCATCCCGGGTCCACATTGCCCCGTTCTCTTCAGGGCTTCCCCAGTCCATGTGGTTCCACCTCCTCTGATCGTCCGAGCAACCGATCGGCCACCAAGCAAAAGAGAAACGGATCAGTTTGTTGAGATTCGTACTTCCTCTCCCGTTAGCTGGGTTGAAAGCAACAAGGCTCTTCAATCTAATCGCGGGGCATGTCGGGAGTTGTAGTCACTCCAGGCGCTTTCCTTTTCACACCGTTTCAGTTCACTGTTATTGGACGCCAAGATGCTGTCGCTCACACTTCGTTGCTGAAAATTATCCATCTATCATCTAATCTCCCTCGTTGAAATCTAAGGGGCAATCGCTCAGTCAAGTGACCAGAAAGAATTAAGACCAGTGGCTGAAAGTACCCCATAACTGCTCTTCCACTATCTCCTGCACATAAATGCACCTACAAATATTGCAGACGTGCTCAGATAGTGTTTTGAGTTTATTTGGTTGATCACTAATCCACGTATGTTCAACTCTTTTTGGAATTTGCTGGAGATCAAGTGTTGTCCGTGTGTTTTGGGCAACTACCATCAGCTTCAATCAGCACAATCACAGTGGTGATTGCGGAAGCTGCACTCTAAGATATCTGAAATAAATCAAGATAGGTTGCCTACTCTGCATTTAAATGCTCACAATGTTAAAACAAATAGTTTGAGTGTAGAGCTTAAGGCACCAGGCTGGGAGATGCATCAGGCACCTGGCAAGAGTCAACAATGATTAGAAAGCACCCATCAAAAATGCAAAAATAAAAACACTGGTTGCTATTTAAGTTCTAGGTACTTATTTAGCAGAGTGAACTCTGAATTTCCAATTTGTAGCACTGTGGATACCGCATTTATATTTATGACTAAGATTGGATTAGCCAGCCTACATTAAAAAACTACACCTAAAGAGTTTGATCTACTGGCTATCACTATATAAGCATCTATGCTTGCAACAGAGTTGAAAAAAAAGCTCAAGACTTGATGATCTGAATGGGAGAATGTTATTACAAATAAAATATTCCTGTTTTTTAATAAAAGCAAATGCAATTACCATCTTCTATTTCCCCCCAAGGGTTTGTAGTTTTATAGTAGAAAAATAATAAAGCCATCCTTGTTTGCAGCTCTGTATCAGTTTTATATCAAACTCCTGGGGGGGGGGAGTTTATTTTCTAAGCCCTACTTCTTTTTGTCATTAGAAATAAAGCTGGTTTTGCAAATGAAGGCAAATATACATGTCCCAGGATAATGTTGCAGGACCCAATCTGAATCGATCACTAGGGCCAGAAATTCCCTGAGGATGGACTCTAGCACAAGTCTGAAAGCTTGGAAGAACAAACCTCTGGTCCCAGGGACGGACTCAAGATCAGATCCTGCAAAGCTGGTTTTGTTCATGGTCAAAGATTCAGCAAGGCAACACTGAAATTCAGGCTGAGCTTTTGCTCTACTATTTACTACAATTTAGTCAATCATGGAACCTTAAAGATTAAACACTTGAGTTGAGCTTGATAGTTTTTATTAAAATCATAAAATGAGTATTTTTGACTGAAGAAAAATCATTATCTGTCTTGAATTGCCCTAGTTGGATTGGTAATTGTTATCCTTAAGCTCAAAGGCCTTTCTTAACATGCTCTCTTTTTAGAACATGCCAGTGACAAAAGCTCAAATCAAAATTGTGGGAAGCATTTTCACTTCATTTGGGGAACAGTTCCCCTCCTGTGCTTTTTTAAAAAAAAATTAATGGGAGAAGTCTAATTTGAAATGTATTATATACTCCAAAAATTCTGTTATTCAGATGAATGCAGCCCACTTCCTCCCCAGTATGCAAGCTTCACACATGTGAAATAGTTTTTAGCTTCATGATTTAGATGTATTTAAAGCTTTGTCTAATTTATCAAATTTGTATATTTGAGAAAGAAAAAATTCTGACTTTAGACATTTAGAATTCTCACTTTAACTGTTGAGATGGGGGCCTGGGATAAGTTAAAAATATCCCTGGTGAAATCAGAGACCAAAATCTACTGGTTATGATATTCTCCCAAACCAGAGAGATACAAAACTCAAGAATGCACAAGGAAAAGAGATACTAGAAAGTTGGAATTGCAGGGACAGTGTTGCAGAACCACTTAGATTGATGATGCTCCTTTAATGATCCAGTGGCATCCATGCATTTCCCGAAGGGAAGGTGTGAGTTGGATTATTTTAGCTCATTTTAGCTAAAAAGGCTGATCAGCAAAAATATCATAAAAGGAATTTGCAGCCCTTCTTCTAGCAGGTATTTATTTTATTAAAAAATGAGATGTTATCCCTATGAATTACTGCACCCTTCATCTCTCTAGTTTCCAGTTATTCCTTCTTTCTGCAATCCTGAGGTGGAGCCTAGCCTCCTACTTGATCAACCTTGTTTGCAGGAATTAAGATAACCTGAAATCTTCCTACATGGCAATATCACTCACTTTGGGAAAATATGAGAGAAGCTGGGGAAGAAAAAAGGGAGAGCAATTATAGCAATTACCAAAAGCAACATTTCTATGGAATTGGAGGGGAGAAAAAAAATTCTAATGGCCTAGCACCTGGTTGAAGTCACCTGGCTAAAACACATACCTACCTTCTGCAAAAGGTTGTCACTAGAGAGATGAGAGTTTCTTGCTTTTTGTATTTGAGGTTTTACTTCCCTAAGCCACCCAGAGTCACCATAAGTGACTTGGGCAACGTGACTGGAAAGCACAGTCAGCAACAATAGATGTGATGGCAACAGCACCATTGCAGAATATGGATAAAGCAAAAGCATTGTAGGCCACTGAATTTCCTATTGTACAAAGTGTGAAGAGCTAGTTTAAAGCATGGTGCTCCCTAGGATAAGTTAGTGAGGAATAGTAACTTAGAGGGATATACAATTAAACTGTTAATAATTTGACAGGAAATACAGCTTCTCTTTAATATAACAGCAGCTCACACATCAAATAGGTTGGGCATATAAATGATGATGCTCTCTGCTAGAAATACTCTTCTCACTAAATATTTCTAATTCACCTTTCCCTCATGGCAATTCACACAGAGTGCCCAGAACGCAGAATTTCTTGTTAGTTTGATTTTTCCTTTCCAAGTTAAATCTTATATAACTGTTTCTTCTGGTCCTCCTGTCCCATTCATGTCAGGGACACTGTTCAAGGCGCTTCCGGGATGAAAGGATTAGCCGGTGACATCACCATTGCCTGGTGTGTGTGTGTGCTGCTTTCATGTCCCTGTCAAGGAGCTGGAGCGAATGACGGGAGCTCACTCTGCCACACAGCAGCACTCAGGTTTCAAACGTGGGCTTGCTAACCTCCAACCCAGCATCCTAATCACGTGTTCCACTACACTCCTTTCTGCTGCTTAATGACGACAATAAAGTTATTTTGAATATATTTCTAACTCAATCAAAATTATTTATTTATTTAAAAGTCTATTTATGCTCCTTATAAACATACTCAAGTGGACGATTATTGTGAAATAAAAATGCACGACTGGTAGGTTATATTACATTTACAATTTAGAATCTGAGATTCTGCCAAACCAATTCAGTGCTTTCAGGTTTGTATTTCTAGTATAATCACATGTATTTTTTCTTTGATTCTTTACTTTTTTCTATAGCATTCCTTGCCACAATTTAGTCCTTTCCCTTGGACAAAAAACAACCCTTAATTCTAACCTTTTACATTTTTTATTTTTTTTATTCCTAAAAAAGAAAAAAAAAAGCCTCACAAAATCATGACATTCAAATTGACTACTGAATGTATCTGTCACAGTCTGTGTTTCTGGGAATTAACAGAAATTGTTTTATTATTCATTTTAACCACAAACCAGAAATGAGACTAAAAATCAGGCTGAAAGTGACAAACAGTCCATAGGGGACTTCACCAAAAACCAAAGTATGAGCAGCCCTGAATGGAGTAAAGTAAGTTTTCAGGGAAGGATCCTGGGCACCTGGATACAGAAGATCAACGGATAGTTTTGACTGGGCTCTTGAAATTGCTGGCGGCCTGAAGCTGCAGCTGATAAGCCATAGGATGAATCTTGAATCCATAAAGTCTGAAAGAAATAAAGGAGTTAAAATAAAGTAGGATGGGATGGAAGATTTAAAAGTCTTGCCCAAATAACCAACATATATTTTCAGTTAAAGTATATATAGACTTTGTTAGATTTCAGTCCTATGGGAGAAGGGCGGTATACAAATTAAATTTGAATGAATGAATGAATGAATGAATGAATTTGGTTCAAATAAGGAATCTTAGAATTTTTTTTTTAACTGTGAAATTTGATAGAAGTGGAAATCGGCTCAGTGTTATACCTAAAAGCCTCACGAAAATAACTTTGGCTTAAGTTACTTAACTTCCTAAGGATAAAAAAAGCACATGTGGTTTAGAAGAAAATAAAATATTTTCTCTGGATAAAGTCTTATTACACTTCTCAAAAGGCAACATTCTCAGATGTACTTTGTGATTTTGTTTCGAGGAAAAAAAAATATACTTTAAAACCTTCCCCATAATGATAGGTTTCTATACTGAGATTCTTCTCTTTTTCTGGCAGCATAGTATCTCAAACTGGGTTTGGAGTAGGAGGAGAATTGTTATTACGTTATATTTATTCAGAGGATTAGTTGTTTATAAGCAGTTAAAATTTGATCTAATAAAAACATACTATTCTGTATATTATAGAATATATTTTCGTTATTATATAATAACTGTTTAAATTGTCACAAGAACTATCAGTATCTGCCTGTTTTATTTATACTGCTTCTTTCCATTTCCTTGCTCTCTTTTAACCTATCACAGTCGACTGTTTCTCTTACACTCCCTGGCTGTCTATTCTCTTAGCTTCTGGCCAGCCTTCCTTCTTTATAGGGAAGCATCCTATTAACCCTTTACTTCCATTCTACTGTTTCTTCACACTTAGCAGTGATTTGAACTGCACCTCTTCTTGAGCGAAGTATTGGGAAGCAGCACAGCCAGCCCTTATAGAGAGCCTGTTGGTATTGCTTAACATTGCTATGTTTCAACATTCACCGAATCTCTGGAGACCATAACAATAACATCACAGGCTCTGGCTAGGAATGAAAGGAGAATTTATGAGCTCTGACAACAGAGGCAAGTAGCCCTGACAACACAAAAATAGACCTGTTTTCAAGTCTTTTCAGCAGCACAGAGGTTTCCACTTTGTCTGAGAAGTCTCTAGTGCAACTCTATCCTTAATAATGAAACGATCCTTCATTTAGGGAGCTACTACGTCCTTTCTTCTTTGGGTGGCAGCAATAACGTTAGGGATAACCAAACTTTTATTCAATATACCCTATGACACATTTGATGGGGCCTTACCTGGGCACAAACTGATTGGCTGGTCGCTTCGGCCGATATTCAGGATGCACCATGAACAACATGTGAGGAAAACCAGTTCCAAAATACGCACCATCCGTGTGATGATGGCGGGAAGATTTGGGAGTATAGACATCCATACACTTGGGGCAGTACAGTTTGACCATAGCTTCCCCTGGGATATCAGACAAACCTAACAATGAAGGACAAACAATAGTAAGATAAGAATTCAGAAATTAAATTCATTTAAAGAAGTTGCTTGATATGGGTTCCAGAACAGACTTACCGACCTGATTTCCATCAACAGTCCCCAGATCTATAGTTTGCAGGTTTGCAAAACAGATGATTCGAGAATTTAGTTATAAAAGTGCCTGAACTGAAAGCATCCTATGACTGAATCTGTCTACTCTTTCACCCTGATTCTGTAGTCTAATTTTTTTCTTCATCTCCTCCTATAAAATAGACCCCCATACGTTAGCTCTGAATCATTTCTTCCATAATATACTCACCGATGGGCAGCATAGGCTGATTCTCACAATAAACTCGAGGGCAGTATCCAAAGTCTCCCTGCTGGTATTTCTCAAGCTAGAAATAGAGAAGGAGAAAAAGTATAGAAAATAGAATCTTTCCATAAAGAACTAATTTGCTGACTCGGGACAGAGAAATCTTTAAGGAAAATCTTTAAGGAAGCTGCACTTGCCAACTAACTTAAATCATCTAGATCAGGGGTCCCCGACCTCCGGGCCACAGAACTGGTGGGTGAGCATGCTCGAGTGTGCAAGGCTCCATTTATGCGACTGGCAGGCATGCATGCCCACTGCTTGCACAAATGGAGCTGTGTGAATCCGCACGCTCACCTACTGCTTCTGCAGAATCATCCCCTCTCTTCCTCCCCTCCCAGGCCACAAAGCCGGAAAGATTGGGGACCGCTGATCTAGATCAGTGGTTCTCAACCTTTTTAATGCTGCGACCCCAACCGGTCGTAAGTCGAGGACTAAACCGGTCGTAAGTCGAGGACTACCCAACCGGTCGTAAGTCGAGGACTTTCCCTGCCCGGGAGCGCCGTGCATGCGTGGTTCCGCCCCCTGCGCCGGC